TAATATAATAAGTTGAATCACTGCACTGCTATAAAGCTGTAATTATAATAATCTTTGATTTGATTCAGTAGAAAGTTCTTGAATTCTTCTTAAGTTATTACAGTATCAGTACACTCAAGCTTTCTTTTCTTAATAATTCAAGTAGTTGTAGAGATGTCTTCAAGAAGATTAACAGTGTATATTACTCATATCTTATAAGTATTATACTAGCTCAGATTAAGGCAGAATTTCTGTTCAAGAATATAAGTAAAGCTGTGAAATTCAGATAATATATTTCTCTTATATCTCAGAGAATCTCTGATCTTAATCTCTCTATCTTTATAATAGATATAGATGTGTAGAGACTGTGACAGTGATAGAGTAACTAAAGAACTTATATTAAAGTATACAGTGAGTTCAGAAATCTCAGATTTCTGTTAAAGTAGAGATATACATACTTTAGAGAATAATATAGAGTTTCTCTCAGAGAGTAAGATTAGATTAGTCTCAGTATAAATATATAAGATTATATCAGTCTGTTAAAGCTTGACTAATTTAAACTTATAATTAGATTAAGTGATTTGAATTGTAATATGATAAAACTGAAGTGATGACTAGTTAACAGTATTATATAAAAGTAGTTGTTTAAGAAGCTATATAAGTAAGCTTGACTATCTTGCTTAAATAGTGAGCTTATAGACTACAGAGTTATTATGAGAATATCACAGATATAATACTTAGTATATTAAGAAGATTATATAAGAAATGCAGTAACTCTTATATATATTTCAGTAGAAGAAAAATGAATCACTGACTTCTTTAATAAGAAGTCAGTATCTAGCTATTCTATATAGATAATGAGCAGATACTCTTCTCTCATTCTATAAGTAAGAATAGTCAGAGTAATATCTCAGCAGCATCTCACTGTCAAGAAAGAGTAATCTGCTAATCTTATATAGAAGTGAGATTCTTATATTTATTAATCAGATCTTTCTATAATATATCTGAATAATGTCATAGAGTGGTTGAAAACTGGTTCAAACAGGATGAAATCATCCGTATAAAAGTGATGAGCCGTGTGAAACCGCAGCGGGGCCTTGACACGGCCGGGGGCGTGATATATATATTTAAGAATCACAGTCATCAGTCAATAACTGAAGAAGGTTTGAAATCAATAATTAAAGAAATAAGATTCTTTGCAGATTGAATATAAGATAACTGCTCAGTGATATTATTAAAAGATGAATTATTATAACTTTGAGCAGAGCACTTGCTGAATAGTATATAATAATACTTATATTTAACTTCTGAGTAATGAGATTGTAAGTTGAATAGATGATATTGAATATAATAAAGCAATCATTGAGACTTCTTTAAGAAAGATGATAAAATGATTAATAAGTAGAAAGAAGAAGAAGAATCAGAAGAATGAATTTATAACTGCTATATTCAATTCTTCTATACAGATCTCTTAATTATCAGCAGTTATATTCTCTTCTTCAGCTTTGACAGCTTCAACTTCATCAAATATAATATTTTCAAGTGAGATAATCAATATGATGATGATGAAATATATAATGAAAGAAATAGAAGAACTGAATTTACAATCTTATTATCATTTATATTTAGATCTGTTATCAAATCTTTCATTGAATTCTTTATTAAATTTGCTATTGAATTCTTCATTGAATTCTTCATTGAATTCACTGTCAAATTTATTATTAAATCTGCTGTTAAATTCTTTATTGAATCTGCTGTTAAATTCTTCATTGAATCTGCTATTGAATTCTTTATTGATTTCACTGTTAACTTTATCAAATTCATCTTCAATTTAAAGTAGTTCAATATCTTAATTTAATGAATAAGCAGATTTATTCTTTGATGAATACTTTAAATAATTGATAATCTGAAGACTTAATAAAGCTTCTGATTTATTAAATATCAAGTTCATTCTTCAGAAGAAAGAATTTGAATTAAATCATCTACAGATGATGATAAGAAAATAGTTACTTAATATAAATATTGAGAAGAGTATATTTTAAATTATAAAAAATGAATTAAAAAGTTCATTATAATAGACAAGATTGTAGAAATTTAAATCATCTCTATTAACTGCTTATAGTAATGAGAGCTAGACTGACCGTGTGACCGTGTCTGAGACCAGGACTAGATTTTTTGATAGTTTTATTATCAATTCGACTGATCTCATTACATGGTTTTAACATTAGATAGTAGTTTCATACTGTCTCAGTGAGACTTACTGTCTACTTTTATCACATTTTTCAAATAAGATCATGATTTCTACTTCTCAATTTAAATTATTTTTATTGCTTTAAATGACTTTAAATCTCATTTAAGTGTTATCAAAAAGTGTTACTTTTTAAAAAATTAAAAATAGTCTAAAAAAAACCTTAAAATGTCTAAAAATAGTAACTTTATACTAAGAATGAAACTAAATGAGATTAAATGAGATCACTTTCTTATTTTTTTCAAGTCATGATTTCATTTTAAGATCTGATATATAGTCACTTTACATGTTTTTTTAATAGCCAGTCCCAGCGGGATTCACGCCAAGAAATGTATGAGATCAGATCAAATGAGACTAAATGTGAAATTCATGATTTCAGCGGCCAGTCTAATAAGAGCAGATCTTATACTACTTCAATCTCTAAATCTATATTATAGTTGAATGAATTACAATCTGAATCTTTCTAATTATTATAATACTATTCTATATAAGCAGATCTGAAATATTCTTTTATATCTTTTTCTCTTATAAAGTTCTCAACTATATAATATAAAAAAGCTTCAAAATCTCTATTAAACTGAGTATCTAACTGATCTCTATATCTTCTAATTTATTTCTTCAATGTGTGAAAAGACTTCTCTATAGAATTATAGTTAGATAAATATAATAATAAGAATAATAATTCAATATCTGTATCTCTGCAAAGATTCTTCAATTCTTAAGATCAATGAGTATTATAATTATTCATTACTAAGTAGTAATAATCTTATTAATATTTAAGCAGTATCTGAATATATACAAACTTATTAAATCTCTCTGTATTGTAGAATCTCTGATATATATTATAATTAATATATTTATTAACAGTTATTATGAATAAGATTGATTATCTTTGAGATTATTTACAGAGTCTTCTAATATGATAAGAGAATTCTCTGCTTGATTATTTATATTATTAATTCATTATATATTTATTTACAGCACTCTCATTTAAAAAGATCAGTTGATTAGAGAGATACTGAGTGAGTTAAATATATTATTCAGCTTGAAGTTCTTCATTATATTAAGTAACTATGAGTTCAATCTATATTATAGAACTAATGAATTAGTAAATTCTATATATTAAGTAATATTTAATTATAATATTAATTATCTTCTTTCATATTAAATTCAGTTTCTTCAACACTCTAGATATTGACTGCAGATGAATATCAACATTAAATTCATTCTTTATAAAGTAGATAGTCTTATCATGATATGCAGGCAGTAGTTGAATATATCTTGAAAAAATTCTTCAATTCTGATAAGATATCTAGTATGATCTTTAACTTTACACTGCATGTTGAATGAAGTTCTCTAACAGTTTCAAAGCAGTGAAGATTTTATTGAATTCAATATACAGTAGTCAGATGACAATCAATACTTTATACAATCTCAGCAGATATATAATCATTCTTAAGAAGATGTACAATCTTGTTGATGATGAAATCACAGAGTTGAGATGACATATTGATGATAAAGGTAAGAAAGACATGTATTTGAATGATATTTGATTGAAAAAGACATGTATTGAATGATATTGAATGATTCTAGAGAAATGCAGATATTTTGATTTTTTGGTGGTGTTTTGCTACTAATTTTCAGGGGGGGCTGGGAAAATTCTGTTTTCGCAAGTAATATGTCCGCCACAATATCTACCCCTTGTTCCCGGTCACATTTCTGTCAACAAACACAAATCCTCAACATTCAAACCACGGACATACCTCCAAATAACCAAACATCTCTCTTCCATCTTTGATAAACAAAATAGAGAATACACCCCCCATCATGTTCTCATTTCTTCCCACAGTCAACCTCCCGACGCTCGTCCTCCTCCATGCCCTGGGTCTCACCGCGCTCGGCACATACCTCACCTTTACTCGGATTCCTACGACACTTGGGATAGCAAGCACGGGCCTAGGTCTGTCTTACCTCTTCACATCCTACGTGCCCATCGAAGAAAATCAATTCCTCCACGCCAGCGTACCAGTGCGCATGATTCTGGCAGCTTTGGCAGCTGCGCGGCTTCCGACTGCGCCCAAATCGGAGCGCAAGAGTCTAATGATTCTCATTTTGTATGATTTTTTGGGCGGGTTGATGGTGGGATATATTCTTGGCCAGTGGAATGGGAAACTCCCGGGGTATTGATAGAACAGATTGTATTCTGCGACGAGGATTGGATTTGACTGGTTCAGAGAAGGCGGGGATTCGTATATATATCGTGGGATTGGGGCTAGGGCTCTCGGATAGATAAACACACTCCTGGATGGATTATGGCATTGTCGCGCTCTCCGCAAATAATGCGGCATTGATCGATTCAAAGTTCTGTGAAATGGAGATTGTTCAATTATTTTGATACATGTGGAACTTCCATAAATATAGAAAACCCACGTGATATAGACCATCTCCAACCTTGGGTTGCAGACCCAGAATGCCCCGCGCTTCTTTGTGCGGACCGGAAGAAGATTTACATATATGCTGCTGAAATCAGATGTTCTCGCTGGTGATAGGTATATAATAAGAACGTCTGTTACCATCGTTTCAAACCCCTGTGTCTTCGAAGTCGAGGGAGTTTGCCTTCACACAAGATACCGCGCAGCCGATGTAAGGGGGCACATTACCAGAGCAACTCCGCATACCTGTTGGATTGCTAATACTATCAAAAGGATTTTTTCTTTTTCGAGGTTCAGCAACTTTTAAGAAATTCCCATCATTCTCGTCGTGGAGCTGACCAATGCCTCCTATCCCTGGAAATGGGGCATTCAATCAGCCGCGCATTGTCTGCTACTACCAGACCTATTACCCAAACACCAGCACCACATACATCTCAATGCTACCTCTGATGCTTAATAACTCGGGTATAACACATGCCATTCTTGCTGCCATCCACATTAATGGGGAGCCAAATAATATAACCCTGAATGATCACTGCCCGGAGGATCCCCGGTACCTGCCCCTATGGGCAGAAGCACGCGTTATGCAAACCCAGGGGATCAAAGTCATGGGCATGCTGGGCGGAGCTGCGCGGGGGACCTTCGAACGGCTGGATCAAGATGCTTCTACCTTTGAGCGGTATTATGTTCCTCTTCGAGACATGATCCAGAACCACGCTCTCGATGGCTTAGACCTTGACGTGGAGGAGGACATGTCACTTGAAGGTATTATCCGATTAATCGATCGTCTCAAGGCGGATTTTGGGGAACATTTCATCATCACTTTGGCACCTGTTGCCACCGCCCTGATCGAGGGACTGCCGCACTTGTCTGGCTTCGATTATAAGGCACTCGAAGCTGCTAGGGGCTCGAAGATTGCATGGTATAATACCCAATTTTATAATGGCTGGGGCGGCATCGACACTACCGGAGTGTATGACAGGATAATTGCAGAAGGATGGGCGCCAGAGAAAGTTGTGGCAGGAACCTTAACCAATCCTGGAAATGGATCCCAGGGTTATGTGCCAATGGACAAGTTAAGCGCGGTTCTGGGAACGTTAATGCTAAGATATCCAACTTTTGGAGGAGTTATGGGGTGGGAATATTTCAATGCGTTTCCTGATGTCCATAGGCCATGGCAGTGGGCTGCTTGTATGTCTCTGGTGATGGGGATGAAAAGTGTATACTCGGCGGTAGCTGCATGGAATATTCAACAGACACGATCAAATTAGCTCAATATTGTATTTTATTTATGGTCTATTATTGTCCTCCTTTGGTTGTTTGCGGGGACCGCAAAGACATTTCGAGATATAGGTTATTTATTTACCCTTTCGCTATTGCTTTTGTCTGGTTTTTGCTCGGAGTTTTTTTCATTGGGAACGTTGCTGCCTATGGCGTCATAAATTTACTTAAATAAATACTAAGTCCACAACACGAGGCGCAACTTCACCATCCCCCGTTCAACAAGCCACGTATTAATAAATAACAGAAAACTCAGCGTCCATCCGGTGCAGGAGAGGGTGGAATTGCGATCGCTTTGATAGGATTGCTCCCCATGCGAATTCCTGTAACGTTATGCCTTCCTTCCAGGTATATGTAGCTGCAACAAGCTCTGCTCTGATTCGGTTTTTGGGCTATCTATTCCTGCGATGGGTACGGTTGCAGTGTCTTTTCCTATAGTATTGGATCCCATTTCTCTGTCATGGGTATTCTACTAACTATGTAAAAAAAAAAAGGTTCCAGCACACCATGCCCCGCCGCTAATTCTCACCTTGTTGTTGGTGAACCTGACCGCAGTTTTCGTGATTGTCACAGGTGAAGCGACAAAAAGCTCGAGAAGAGGTGGCACGACCGGAAACGCGCAAAAGGATGCCATAGCGACAAAACGAAGCTTGAGTTCGGGAAGTGGTGGCAAAGGCAAATATGAGAGGGCAGCATCTTCGTTGTTCGTCCTTGCAACTGGTATTCCGTCCACACGCGCGAGGTACACCAATCTAGCTACAGTCGGGGTCAACATTTTACTGGGCCTTGCCACACTTGATGTCCTTCTTCGGGGCCATTACATGTATCCCACGACCGATTTGGCCTTTTCACGAGTTGGATACGTGTCGCCAACGACTGCAAACATCCTCATTCGCGAGCCCGACGCCGCACAACTTCCCATCCGTACATCCTACCGCGTAATGGAAAATGGTCGAGAGGGGGAGTTGATTGACGCGGGAACAATAGCTGTTCTCAACAATGACACCGATTACACTTACGCTGTTACGTTGACTGGACTTCAGCCCTCAATGGACTATCGATACTCGTTCTCAAATAACCTGTCCGGCCACTTCACCACCGCGGCAGCTCCAGGCTCCGCCGCGGCAAACAGACTCAGTTTCCTGAGCTCGAGTTGCATGAAGCCGAATTTCCCATATAATCCTCTAAACCACCCATTGCGTATCTACGGCCTCGAGGTTATTTCCAAGATCATGTCGAAACTCCCATCCCTCTCACGACCCTCGTTTATGCTTTTCCTCGGAGATTTTATCTACATTGACGTACCCTTCCGCTGGGGATCTTCCACCTCCGACTACCGCAGCGAATACCGTAAAGTCTATGCATCCCCATCATGGCACAGCGGCCCAGAACCCGCAATCAACATCCCCTGGCTCCATACTCTGGACGACCACGAGATCGCCAACGACTGGCATTTAGGAAACATAACCGACCCTTATCCAGCAGCATTCGACCCATACCGCCATTATCACATGAGCGTGAACCCTCCCATTGACAAATCTCCATTCTCCATCCCTATCAACACCACCTACTTCTCCTTCACAAATGGCCCTGCTTCCTTCTTCATGCTAGATACGCGCACGTATCGCTCAGAACCGTCACAGGAAAATTCTACAATGCTCGGCTCCGCGCAGCTAAATTCCCTTCTTGCATTTATTTCTCGCCAGGAGCCCGCTGGTGTGGAATGGAAAATAATCACTAGCAGCGTGCCGTTCACAAAAAACTGGCGCGTTGGCACGGAGGATACATGGGGTGGGTTCCTAGGTGAACGACGCCGGATTTTCGACGCTATCTGGCGCGCGGAACGGGAGTTGGGAATCCGTGTCGTGCTCTTGAGTGGCGATAGACACGAATTTGGCGCGACGAGATTTCCTGATCCGTCCCTGTCGGCTACAACAGCGTCAAAAGCAGAGAAGGGCGGTAGCATTAGCATTGAGGATGGAACAGGCATTCATGAATTCTGCACTGGCCCGCTGAATATGTTTTACATTCCCGCGGACTCCTACGTACAGACAGATGATGAGGATGTCTTGATCAAGTACCTGCCCGCTGGTAATAACAAGGTGGCCCTAATCAACATCGACGTTGAGGACGGTAGGAATTCGGTGTTAAGGTATTCCCTGTATATCGATGAATATCTGGTGTGGGAATACAAGCTAGCTAGGCCCTTAGTGTGGGAGGAAGGGCAGAGTCGGAGATTGCCGCCTGGAGAAGTGGCGTTTGACAAATTTGGAGACGGGACCTTCGTGGATAAAGTGCGGAGCGTTTTGGGTGAGGTTGAGGTATTAGTGAAGCCTCTGATCAAATCGGCTGTGCGTGCGGTTAAGTGGTTAATGCTGCGGGTGCTGCAGAGGGAGGTTGGGTCAGAGGTGTAGAAGGGAGGGAGACACTAAACCCCACCCCTCCCCAGCTTTCCCCTGTTGGATGTGCTGTACATATTATATACGGAGCGTATTTTAACACTTCTTTATTTATTATATAGAATTATCAGTGCAATTATAGGTTGTCTCTTCAGCCACTATTACTTTGGAAGGTCGTACTGGTGTTGGTACATGTACGTGCATGGCCCCTGGCCGCGGGCCGCTGGAAAAGATAGCTTTTGTACTGCACATGAAATTACATAGCTGCTTTCCAGCGTGCCAATTTGAGTATGTATTATATATACAACAAATCAAAGTTGTAAGCAATGGGTAGGTAGATGTGCGAGTCAGAGTAATGAACATTAAAACATCATAAAGTACTCCGCAATCACAAGAAGAGAAACACATTAAACCCGAAATCAAGCGAAAGAAACAACGGGGGAAATCTTGAAAGAAAAGAACTCGAAGCTCGCTCCGTTAACGCCTTTGTATATCATATGTGTCATACAATATTAGAAGAAAAAATACACCCCATCGAAAATAAAATGGGGACAAATGAACGCAGATAATTAAATAATGAATGAGGGTGGGTTAAGACGAGTTTATCTTCCCCTCCCCCGTCCACTCCCAGCTCCACCGCCCCCTCCCATCAACCCGCTCATCTGGCTCATCATGCTCTGCAAATCCATTCCTCCTAATCCAGGCATCCCACCCGCGCCACCAGCGCCCCCACCACCGCCCAACATTTGCATCATCTTCGCCATATCACCCATCCCCGGCATCCCGCCTGCACCGCCCATAGCGGCCATGCGCTTCTGCATAGCAGCCATCTGCTGCTCTTTATTACCGCCCTTAAGCATATTCTGCGCGCGCTGCATGTGCTTCTTCTGCCCACCAACTCTCTTCGCCATTCCAGCCATCATCTTGTGTTGGGAGAGCAGGTCCTCGACTTCGCGAACGGTGGTGCCGCTTCCGCATGCAACGCGCACGATGCGGGAAGGCTGGTCGATGAATACTTTGCCGTCGCCGTCGAGTTCTGCGGCGGTCATGCTGTCGAAGATGTAGATCATCCGGCGGAGTTTGAGGGAGCCGTCTTCGTCGTCGAGGCCTGAGGTGATGTTTGATAAGCCTGGAATCATGCTTGAGATCTTGGAGAGGGGTCCCATTTTCATGATGGATGTGATATTTTCGCGGAAATCGCGTAGCGTGAAAATTCCGGCCGAGATGTGTTTGTAGGTTTCTTTTGCGGTTGCGGAGTCCTTCGTTACGGCTTGCACGTGTTCGACTAAACTGGCCATGTCGCCCATGCCTAGAAGTTTTTGGATGAATGGCTTTGGAGCAAATCGTTCGAGGTCTAGCATATGTTCTCCCGTTCCTAGGAAAATGATGGGTGTGTGAGTTGCGGCGACGGCGGAGATGGCACCTCCACCAGCAGCACTACCGTCTGTTTTAGTGATTATTATAGCACCGAAATCTGCTGTAGCTTTGAATGCAGCGGACTGGGATTCCGCGGCTTGTCCGATAGTACCGTCCAGTACCAAGATGGTTTGATCTGGTTTTATGGCCGTTTGAATCTGTGTCATTTCCGTAAATAGATCTTCCTCCTGCTTATGTCTACCACTTGTATCGACAATGATGATATCAAAACGCTCCTTCTTGAACTTTGCCACACCCTCTGCAGCCACCACGGCGGGATCTGTCTGTGTCAAGCTGCCGAAGTACGGGATCTTTGCTTTTGTCGCATTCTGCTTGAGCTGATCGAAAGCACCTGCACGGAAAGTATCCGCGCAAACAAGGGCTGCTCGGAAACCACGAGTCTGATAATGCCGAGCCAGTTTCGTACATGTCGTCGTTTTACCCGCACCCTGTAGACCAACAAACATGATAACATTGGACCTCCCCTTCTTCGGCTTGAAGGGTTCAGCATGAGGGTCTACCAGAGCCACCAGCTGATCAAATACGGTTTTTTGTATTAGGCGCTTCTTATTTACAGCGGGCGGCAGGGAGGAGAATGGCACGGCGGCTTTTATGGATTTGCGAAGGGACTGGACGAGGCGGACGTTGACGTCGGCTGATAGAAGGGCGGCGCATATCTCTTTGATCATAGCATCGAACGCCTGCGTTGTAGAGTAAGAAAATGAGTTCATTTCACGACGCATATATTTATTATGCAAAATAAAAGTACATATATACCTGTTCATCGAGGTTATTTGATCTTGTTAAGTCGTTGACGGCGGCGTTGATGCGCCGCCCCAGGTCTTGAAGGACCATCGCGGGGAAGCTGTGGGGAGAAGACGAAGGGACAAGGACTGGCTAGTTCAGCGGGAGGTAAGGAATATGGCTGAAATATCGACTATAGGGACTTTAGCAATGAAATCAAAAACCCGGAGATTCTTCTGGTGAATGTGGGGTATTAAGTTTCTCCGGGGTATATTGAAGCTGTGAAGTGGGTGTAGATGGTTAAGTTTGTCCCCTTGCGGCGGAAATTCGATTGTTGAAAGGTTGTGCTGAAGTCATGTGACCGAGCTCTGGGTGGAATTTTTAGTTTTCTGGACTAGATAGGTCAATTCAATATAAATACTTCTTGTTATTCCACCTCCACCATTTTGTAGAGGTATATAAACTAAATTACATATATCTCTCCCAATGGCGCCTCCGTCATTCAAGAAGCGCAAGGTCGAGGATGGCATGAACGGCAGAACCTCGAGGCCGAAAAAGAAGTTCAAGAAGCAGCGGGTATACCACAGCAGCTCAGAGGATGAAAACGACTCAGACCACAACGATGAAGTGTTCACCGCAGTCAATCTGCAAGACTCCGACAGCGAGAAAGAGGAGCAATTAAGTAAAGAGGTCCAAAAACAAAAACTGCCGGCAGACTCGGATGACGAAGAGGAAATTACTGCAGTCACTGCTACGAAATCTCGCCCAGCAGCAGCCGACGAGGATGAAGCCTCAGACTCAGGCTCAGACTCAGACTCCCACGGTGCATCTTCTGCGGCCTCGGCCTCCGGTTCCGACCTAGACTCAGACGATTCCATGTCCGGTCCAGACGCCTCAACTAACACCCGCCGCAAGAAGCTTTCCAAACGCAACGACCCCACCGCCTTCTCGACCTCCATCTCCAAAATCCTCTCAACAAAACTACCCACCGCAGCCCGCGCAGACCCTTTACTCTCACGAAGCAGATCTACGGCGGAAACTACGTCCGAGCTCGCCAATGAGAAGCTCGAGAGCCGCGCGCGTGCGAAGCTACGGGCTGAGAAACGCGAGGAGCTGGAGCGTGGGCGGATACGAGACGTCCTTGGTGTGGATAGGGGAGAGGCCGGCGACACTGCAGAGCAGGAGAAGCGGTTGCGGAAGATTGCGCAGCGGGGTGTGGTTAAGCTGTTCAATGCCGTGAGAGCGGCACAGGTGCGCGGAGAGGAGCTGGCGAGGGAGGAGAGGAGGAAGAGGGGTATGGTTGGGATGGCGGAGCGAGAGAAGGCGGTCAATGAGGTTAGCAAGCAGGGGTTTTTGGATTTGATTAATGGGAAGGGCGGGAAGAGCTTGAATATTGAAGAGGCATGAGATATGGTTGTCTTTTTCTTTTTTCTTTTTTGTTCCGCTGTTGTTTCCCGGCTACGCTTATGTATGCATTTTTCTATTTTGACTGTGCGGATATTAAAATGGGCGTTCTTTGGAATATATTTTTGTAGATTTTAATGCATTCACTCTGGAGAAATGTTTTGTTGTGTGCTTGTCTATTGGGGGAATATATAATACAAATGTCGCAAATGCGACTATACACACCGGGCGAAGATCGATCAATATACAAAAAGCAAAGTAAAGAAATTCCACCATGACCTACTTGGGTCCTGCTCAGCGGAGATGGTTTGCCACGGGCGCCATAATAGCACTATTTAATCAACAATTGGAAAAGTGAACGTCCCCCCAAGGATTCAGTAGAAATACATACATATGTATGTATGTATGAACGCTGTTCCCAGGCGAAATTCGCATAAACCCCTCAAATACTATTTCTGCTCAAAATCGCTTGCCTGCAAATTCCGTGTCATGCTTGGCAGTCGTACAACGACGCCATCCAGCTCCTTGCTCATTTTCACCTGGCACCCCAGCCGCGAGGTCTCGGTCAAGCCAAAGGCAAGGTCGAGCATGTCATTCTCGTCGTCGTCAGGCTCCTCCATCTTATCGTACATGTCGGGATCTTCCACGATGACATGGCAGGTTGAGCATGCGCATGATCCACCGCAGGCACCTAAGGTTGGGGCGGGGGCCGAGTTTGTATTAGCCCGGCATATACATAGAAATTATCTTGAAAACTGCCACCATTTCAATAGCACCTGTATATTGCGGTAGGAGAAAGAATTGGTTTTTTCTACCTTCCATCTCTAAATCATTTGCTTGGGCAATATCCAGCAAGTTGTCGCCCTTGGCCACCTGGAAATGGTACTTCTCGCCGTCCTTGTCTATGAACGTCACATTGAGCCTGGCAGGGGCGGAGTTATTAGTTCCTGTTGAAATCCTACGTAAGGGCGTAATGCGCTGGACTCAAAATATTCTCATCACTCACTCTTCCCCTGGTTTGGGAGGTTCAATATGCCCATGCGATGCAAGCGCGGTAGCCGAAAATCTCCGTCTTGCCCGGATAGCATTTTCCGAACATTGTGCATTTAATCCGGCGCTTCGTAGATTCGGCGACCTGAGGTATACTGAGTGTCCATGGTCTTTGCTACTGAAAGGCCTTGAAGCTGAGATCTTAGAGGCACTCCAGCATGTTGATGACTGCCGAACGAGGGGTCTGCCGTCCTTGAGGAAATGTGATGCGGAGATTCGCAACTGGCGGGTTATGCTGTTGCATATCGACATGGCTGCGGAGAGGAGGTGTGTGCAGAACCGAGATATCCGGCCTTTGTAGATAAATACCAATGCAGCAGTGTTGGAATGCAGTAAATGGGAGCTGGGGTATCTTTCTTAAATATTGCGGGGAGAAATATCGTTGCGTGGAATTGTTGTTCGGGTTTAACGAAGTATTCGAGCAAATATTGCGACGTTGAGAGAAAAAGAGAGCGGCGACTGGCTTGGACGACCGCGAACTCGGCCCAAAAACAGAAGAAAAAAAAAAAAAAAAGAGAGAAAAGGGAGCAACAATTTCATCATCGGCCACAACATCCACCAACAGACATCCCACAATGCTCCCCCACAAACAACAACAGCCATAGATACCTTCCATAAATACCCCATAAATAGATAGCAGGCCAATTTCTCGCTAATCTAGCTGGGGAAAACAAATCAACACGCCCTCCGCCGCTCATCATGGGCTCGTCCTCTGAAGGACCAAACCCGCTCCGCCCATACTACGTCCCTCCATCCATCGGCCTACCCAAGTCTCCGTCAAATGCCGTCTCTGGGACGCTCGTGAACAAGGCGACTATCAGAAACTCGACGCGGGAGATCTTCTCGGACTTTGACTACTCCGAGTACCTGGGGGAGTCATCCCCGACGATTTCAGACTCCCTCAAGGAGCTGGTGGAAAAAGCGCTATGGAAGTACACCAGCGTGTTGACAGCCCAACCATTCGAGGTTGCAAAGACCATTCTCCAGGTATATGTTGCGCAGGATGCGCAGGCGGCTTTAGCGGGTAGAGATGAGAGGCAGCGACGGGATCATGGGTATCGGGACAATTACTACGACGAGGTATGTATTGTTTGATGGAACTCAGAGTTCCTTAACATACAGACATTTAGATTTATGAATATACAAGTAGATAACTTCTACTAACGCGAGGTGTGATGTAGGATTCTGCGCCCTCGTCCGATGATGAAAGCAGTTATTTCACATCAGATGCTGCTCTAACTCCTGCTCCATCCTCCCGAAACCGCCGTTCCCGGCCTCGCATCACGGATAGGCGTGGCTATATACCGCCTGGCACTGCTCCAGCTAATAAAAACATGCTCAAAATCAAGGATCCCTCCGCTCTATTTGACGTATTGTCTCAGCTCTGGGGCACGAGTGGTGTGACTTCACTATGGAAGGCGTCAAATTCATCATTCGTGTACTCACTACTCCTCCCAACCCTCAATACTTTTATCCGGAGCCTCCTATCAGCTATCCTAGCCTTTCCGGAGGAAGGCCTCTCGTCTCTCGCCGAGCCTGATATCCTCACATCATCATCCCCCGGTTCCTCTTTACTACTAACGTGCATTTCTTCTGCTCTTTCCGCCATTCTCCTCTCCCCCATCGATACGACCCGCACATATCTCATTCTCACCCCACTAAATCAGGGGCCACGATCACTCCTCCGTGCCATCCGCCTCCTTCCCACTCCCAGCTACCTAATCCCACCACATCTCCTTCCAATTACAATTCTAAATGCGACTCTTCCCAATCTCCTAACAGGCGCCACGCCGCTCTTCCTCAAATCGTACCTGTCCCTCGACCCTGTCATCAACCCCTCATCATGGAGCGTATTCACCTTCTTCGCATCATGCCTGGACCTAGCAGTCCGCTTTCCCCTCGAAACCGTCCTCCGCCGCGCGCAAATAGCCACATTCACCTCCCCAGCGTTACGCCAGCAGGGCAGCCTCCTCCCTAGCCCTAGCCCTAGCCCAACCTCTACAACAGCCCCGCCACCGCTCCCCCGGAACACAAGGAAATCATCCGCAGCACCTGCTGTGGTTGAAACCATCGTCCCCACGCCACAATCCTACCGCGGCATAATCGGGACAATGTGGACTATAGTCTATGAAGAAGGCACAAACCCACACGCCCTCGAGCTCGAGGAGGTATATGCGCGGCACGGCGCGCAGTCCTCACAGTCGCCCCGGCCGTCCTCAGCGCAGGGGACGGCGACAAGCCGACGGGCACAGAAGCAGCGGCAGGGGCAGGGCGTGCAGGGTCTGTATCGCGGCTGGCGTCTGGGGATGTGGGCTCTCGTTGGCGTGTGGGGCTCGGGCATTTTGGGCTCGGCATTGGGTACTGGCGATGATGAGATGGTTGCTGGTCCTGGAGGTGCTAGGTTGGCGTTGGAGTCTGCGGGTGGCAGGGCGGGGAGTGCGTCTACCAAGGGTGCATTTTGAATGCCAAATTTGAAGGACCATACACTTCATTTGCTGATACGCAAGTGTGTGCAGGTGGTATGTGTGTGGTATCTGTCCTGCGGCGCCTTTCGAGCTATTGTCATCTTATAATATATCTGTTACGACCTTTCTGGATATCTTTGATCCTATCAACCTCATACACCACGTCCGCTTTCCCCTACCTCACCCCTGCAGCAGGAAAACGAAAATTCGGTGTATATAAATAATGAGCCGGGGAAAATACGTTGGCGTGGGTAAACCGAACCCTGCTTTTCCTAGCCCCCTTACTCTCATCTCCTTTGGAATGAATCTTTTCTCTTTCCCTGGCGTAGTTGTCAAGTCTAGGAAACACAAAACTTCTCCCCCCTGCCCCCCCATTTTATTGTACCTACGTACGTGTGGACCTATGTGCATGTACTATTATATTCTATTCCTATTCTTATCATCTCCTTTTCCAAAATCTTTTTCTTTTTTTCGAACAGAAATCTAACGCACGCAAAGGAGTATTTCCTAAGGGGAAAGAAAAAATAAAAAAAAGGAAAAAAAAACCTAATGTATCCAAATAAAATTTAATCCTTCTTCCTTCTCATCCCCTTTCTCCTGACTCTTTTCCTCTCCCAGCGGCCCAGTGCGATTTGTTTCTACCCGTCCGCGAGGTTTTCCCCATACCGATCGATATATTTGTGGCAATGGGCATGTTTTGTACTTGTCGTACACTGGAAACGCTGATGATATATATTTTCAATTATTTTTGGTCAATTGCCAATTGCTACTCCTCCCAAGGCGAACTTTGTGCTACACATACGTGAAGAGACACTAACAGGCGAACAGAAGGGAGAGGGTTTTTTTTCTTTTAAATGCATAATCTCAACATTATCAACACAACCAAAGGAAAGGAAAGGAGAAGAAAACAATGGATAAGTTGGAGTGGGGTAAATGTGGAATATTGGGGGAGGGTTGGAAAGTGAAAGTAAGGCTTTTTTCCTCTTTTTTTTCCCTCTTTTTTTTCCCTCTTTTTTTTCCACCTTGAAAGTGAAAACAGCATCGCATCAGAAAAGAGAAAGGAAGAGAAAGGGCCGGAAAAAGAAGAAAGGAAATGAAAACTAGAACCTCACTTGCCTCCCCTCCCGTCTCTTTGACTTTTAATATTTTTTTCCTTCTTTTTTTTCTTTTCTCTTTTCCTTTCTTTTTTCGTCTGTTTTCCCCCTCTTTATTTAAACAGGAAAATTGCTGCTTTATAATACAATATCTGCCTGAATGCAGGCTGGAGTGGTGTTGAGGAGGACAGGACAACCTAATCAAATAGGTAGTATGAAGCTGAAAGGCAACAATGACGCGTTACCTCCAGGATACAATATGATCAACGTTCATTAGAACCTCTCTTTAGAATCAGATAAAATATCGTAACACAATCCAAAGGACAAAGAAACTAAAAGGCAAAAAGCGGTTTGACAGAGCGCTTGCTCGCAAGCTGCCTGTTATTTTGTTTTCAAAGCTACTAGTCAGCAAACCGTCTATCGAAATACTTCAACACGCCCATAACGCTCGCCGCCTCGACCTCCATCGCCGGCCGACCGCCATAATTCGACTGCGGGAGGTCACGGGGATTAGGCAGGGTGTGCAGGCGCGGTAGCCAGGTGTTCAAGTCGTCCGCGGCGCGGGAGAATTTGGGATGACGCGACAGTGCCGTGTAGGTATCTGCGCAGGAGAGGGTGATGGGTTGATGGTGTTGAGCTGACGATGTTGATGATGAGAGTTGGGATGAGGTGGGTCCTTGCAGTTGGGACTGGGATTGGCAGCATCCGCCGCCTGGTCCGCCACCTCCACAACATCCTGAGCCTCCGGGGGCAGCGGCGTTGCTGGCGAGAGAGGCGGCGAGGCTCTTGCAGAAGAGCGTACTTTTGGGGTCGGCTTGGCATTGTGCGCAGGTTCCGGGTCCGTTGATGCATGGATTAGATTTGTTTGGGTTTGCTGAGTAAACGGGCTCGGATAAGACGTCGCCATCCGAAGGAGGAGGGGTAAATTGGGATAGGTTTCTGATTGTTAATCTATTGCCTTTTTCGGGTGATTTGGCGGGGCCCGAATTCATTTCTTCCTCCTCGGCGGCCATTTCCGCACACATGCACGGTGTGCCATCTTGACAAAAGCCGCAATGGTCTATGATTCTAGAGGGAGACACCGACGGTTCTGTGGCTCGAATAGTACGGTCGCGGTTGCCAGAGAACAGGGCGGTGAAATCGGTTTCCAACTCCTCCGGTTCTGTTTTGATAGTAGTATCTAGTCTGTGGCGTTTTGATGAATTTGTCTGGTGCGGAGAGTGTGCTCTTTTTGGGGTGCTCTCGTCTTGCTGGTCAGGAGCAGCGTTGGAAAGCCCGAAAGCATCCTCGATGCATTGGCATCGTGTTGAGGAGCAGTTCTCACAGGTAGCGGCCATCCCTCCCACTTCGGATACTTGTTCTGCAAGCTGAACCCTTTGCATCAACTCTTCCTTGGCCTTTTTCTCCGCTGCAAGGTTGGTCTCTAGAGTCTGGCATTGTTTCTTCCACCATGATATTTCAATTTTGCATTGTTCCAGCTGGCCGGAAATATGGTCTATACGCTCCTTCCATGCGGCTGTCTGTCTCCCATTCTCTTCTTCAATTTGCCTGATTTGCTCTTCTAGTTCGCCAACCCTTGCTGCCCTTCTCTCGCGAAACGCTCTCTGAGCAGCGCGATTTTGAGCCTTCCGTTTTGTTGGTGGGGTGTCTGTAGCTGGCTTGCGTCCAGGTTTAGGTCGAGGGGGAATAACCCATTCTTTTGACGTGATAGTTGTGGGCTTGAGGGGTACCGGCGTAGGCGTACCAGCAGCAGCCAGCGGCTTCACGGAAAGCGACGGTTGGCGGGACGGCACGGCTGGTGCGAGAGGAGCAGGAGAGTTCGTCGAACTTGACGAAGGAGTCGAAGCAGCGGACATAGCCGACATGATAGTCTCTTGGTATGTCCTACTTGTATGGTGGGATAGTAGTCGCGGAATTTGGTCTTGCTGCGTGTCTACTAGATATATCCCCTCTTAACCGATTTGCAGTGCCGAAGTCATCGACCAAGACGCACCAGGTCATCGCAAGGGAACAAGATTCAATTAAGTTTGAACTATGCGTTGAACAATAAGCTGTTGTTATTCAAACAGTGACTCGGCGATGAATGGCTGTGAGGAAGTTTTCGTCCTGGCCAACCATGAGGGCAGAATTGAAGCAGGAAGAATAAGCCGCGGGGGATTCGGAAGATCAGATTAGATTATCGTGCGACATGTTGCTCACGTGGTTTCTTGCCGACGTCCGATGTCTTGGCATTGTTTCCGTTATCTGATCGCCAAGCTCGGGTTATCTGATGGAAAAGGTCGGCCGTCTTTCCGTTTTCGGCCTAACCCACCACGTTCTACAACGAAACATATAAATTTGTTCGTCGTGCTAATATTGGCTGCAAATAACTGAACAACCTCGGAGGAGATCTGCGTCTCTACCGCTATTTGGAAGCACTAAAGGTTCCCACTCTTCTGCAGCGCAAGTGTAAATAATACGACCTGCACCATGAGTCAGGGCTTGAGAAGGATCTTATATAAGATGAAGACCCTTCCCATGCCTCCTCAACCAACGCCTTCGTACCTCTAACTCACCCCCAGAACCCCCGACTCCAAAGTCGAATCGAAGTAGCCAACCATGCCACCAAGCCCTGTTGTTGCCAGCCAGAAGGTTCTTGACCTTCTTCAAAAGCTCCATGCAGCCTCTATCGCCCAAGAGCATGCCCTATCCACCGTCTTCTGGTTTATGACTAGAAAATTGCGTGCCTTGTTCACTAAACAAAGTTGGTCGTCGCTTGATGATACTTTCGTCAAGGATAAATTCATCGCCCTTGAGGCCGACAAAAGCGAATTTCTCTATCTCCTAGCACGGACTTCCGGTGCCACTACGATAGTCGAGGCAGGTACAAGTTTTGGTGTCTCCACGATCTACTTGGCTCTGGCTGCTGGGCAAAATGCCGCTGCCCTCTCCCCATCTCCTCCAACACCTGGGCAGGGAGCTAAGGTGATTGCCACGGAGAAAGAACCGGAGAAAGCCCAAAGGGCTCGGGATCACTGGAAGGAAGCGGGCCCTGAAGTTGAGCCATGGATAACTCTGTTGGAAGGAGACCTGAACGATACTCTCCCGGCGGAGTTGAAAAATGTCGAAAAGGTTGACCTTCTCCTTCTTGATAGTATGTCGCTCCCTTCTGTCTTTGACTACCCTACGGTTAAGATCTCATCACTCACCAATCATATAGTCTGGACACCGTTGGCACTCCCAGCCTTGAAAATTGTCCAGCCGAAACTTCGACATGGTGCACTCATTATTGCAGATAATACGGCCAGTTTCCGCTCTGCCTATGAGGACTTTTTTGCTTACGTACATGATCCGAAGAATGGATTCAGAACGATGACGACCCCATTCAAAGGAGGACTCGAAGTGATTGTATACCTTCCAACTTCGTGAATACGCAGTCTCTGAATTTTTCTCTCCTATTTTGTTGTTTTGTCATTATATCCATCCTCCTGGCCTATTCAACATCTCCCAGCCAAGCCATTTGTCAAGAACAGTTAATACGAATTTTTATATTATCAACAGCAATAATAATGTAACATGCACATATTTTACATATGGCTTGGAATGCTAAGCTCAACCTACCCCCTTCTTCCAAACGTATGTCTTATATTGTGACATCCCTCTCATCCATTTACTCGTATTCAGCCAACGCTGGTGAACCCGGGAATTGCTCGTTTGAAAACTTCGTCTGCACGAACACTTTTTGAATCCCTCTTTTCCTCTCGTCATACATACGATAGACGAGATCTAGATCTTCCAGCTTGACACGAGTCGAAATCATTCGCAACGGATCAAGGGTTCCACTTTCAATGAGAGAGAGAATGTGCTCCCAGTATTTCTGTACCGGCGCTTGGCCGTTACCGATCAATCGGACACCGCGCTGCATAAGGGATCCGATGTTGAAATGGTTGGTCTATCACAGTCAGCAGTTAGTATTCGAGCATTCCTATTCAAAGCTTGTTCCATCCCGTACATCCATAAGCTAGAGCCCAGGAACAATCGACTTACGTAGCCCACATAAACACCCGTAATCCCACACCTCCCGAAATTCCTCATAGACGTAACCATCTCATTCAAAATCTCCGACGTATCCGTCTCCGCCCCCAGCATAATCTCAATATAATGCGCCCAGCCCTTCGCATACTCCCCAGCCGCACACTCCAACGCCGCGTCGGGGCCTTGCCCATCCCCCACCATCTGTTTCAACACAGAGGTCACCGACTCCCCACTCTGTAAAGTAGAATAATCCACCGTCTCAACCCGGGGCAGCTTTTCCTTGACAAAGTCTAAACGCCAAGCACCCGCTCCGCCATCAATAAGAATCACTCTGGATGCGCCGTGCATGAAGCTGAACTCAGCGCACATCTGTCCGATGGGGCCGGCGCCCCATATCGCCACGACGTCTTCCTCCCGCACGCCCGTGTCGACCACACAGTGCCAAGCTGTACTAAGCACGTCCGAGAGATAGAGACCCTTCTCATCAGGAACGTTGGCAGGGAGCGGGAGGAGGTTGGTTTCCGCGTAGGGTACACGGACGTATTCAGCTTGACCACCGGAAAAGCCGCCGGTGAGGTGGGAATATCCGAATATTCCTATTACTTGACTATTAGCGATTGACATTTACTACCACCCCCCCCCCCCACACCCCACACCGGCCCGGGCTGGCAGGCTGAATGGAGCACCAGTAGTACTGACCGGCCGTGCGCGATCCATAAAGCGAATTTTCCAACTGGCTAGCGTTCGTGCGCTCGCATTGCGAGGAGAGTTTCCGTTTACAGTATCTACAGTCACCACAGGCGATTTGGAAGGATGCGACGACCCGATCTCCCGTTTTCAATTTCTTGACGCTAGCGCCGACGGATTCTATTTCGCCGCAGAATTCATGGCCCAGGATGTCTCCCTTTTGCATTTCAAGGACCGACCCTAGGAGACAGGTATGTTAGCATAAATTGTACCATGTAGGAGACTAGCCCTAGTAGCTACTGTTATGTATGCGTACCATGATAGAGATGCAAATCACTCCCGCAAATCGTTGATCCAGTAACCTTTAAAATGACGTCTGTATCCTCAAGGATTCTGGGCTTAGGCACGTCCGCTATGATTCTCACAAAACCATATCAGTAAACCTGAAATAATTCGTCTCTCCCCTTGAGGAGGCCGGAGGTCTATCCTTTCGCTGCATATTTTGCACACTTTCAACCTACATACCAATCGTCACATCGTTCTTCCCCAGCCATATCAAGGCCTTCATCGTCTCACCACTGGGATCCGCGAACTTCTGCCTATCTCGTGCCGGATTGCTCACATCCTGTGTAATACTGGCTTCTTCTTTCCTGCCCGTTTCCGAAACATTTGCAGCCTGCGAAGTAGCCATCCTAATAAATATCCAAGTTTGAGATGGTAATATTCAAATAGTCGCAATAGAAGCAGCTACTGAAGGCGAATTCATGACTAGGAGCAGCAGGGCGCCACGCCCCGGCTATATATAAGAGCAGCCTTTCGCAGTGGCTTCGAAGAGGGGGGTATACATTGGACGGTAAACTCAAGTCCTGTGACATCACAGTGAGGTCGTTCTTTATGGAATTTGACACTGCAAGCTTGTATGTTTTTAGTTGTCTCGAGTAAGCCTACGTTTCTAGAAACGGCAAAAATTCTACCCAGGATGTGTTGCTTGCTCTGCCCGGAGAACTCAACTCACACCGCTGCTGAGGGAGAGATTTTTCCACAAAAACTAATAAAAATATAATAGTAAACCAAGGTCTATGAATCAGTCACTTTCAGCAATGTACTGTACATGTACCATACACACAAATTTGAGAGACGGCGGCAAAAAGGGAGCAGCATAGAAAATGGTGTCCACATATAACGAGAGAGTATAATACACAATATAAGCATTCCCACAACGTTCACCTATCCTTACGCCCCATAACCTCATACGGACGTTCCTTGCTGCTGCGACCGATTTCTCAAATATTGACGAACAAGACCCTCAACGCTTCCCATATCATGCCTCGGTTTCCTAATTTGAGAGAAAGAAAAAAAAGGTTAGTAAAAACTCCTTAGAAAATGTGACGAAACCAGAGGATAGTCGGACTATAGAAGAAAAGCGAGAGCGTAAAACCGTACCTCATATAAGTCAACCTAGCACGTCTCTTCCTCTTCTCCGTCCGTTGTACAACTTCAACAGCCTGAACGTTCGGGCTAAAAACTTTAACCCACATCTCGCATCCAATCCTCGTCAATTTATTCCGTAGCAGGAAAGACGTGTCTAACCCTCTAGATCGAATGTTCAAGCATACACCCGAGAATGGGTCTCCGGTCTTGAATGTAACTCGCAGGACGTCCCCGACTCTCACGCAATTGGGATTCCGTTTATCGAACATGGCTTTCCGCTCACCGGTCGGGTCGTAGATTGCGAGCTGGTCCTCTGTAAACGCAGCGACGGGATCCTTGGTTGTCCTGCATTTGCTTGGTGGAGGTGGTGGGACCTTTATCTTCCTTCCGACCTCTACAATAGAATAAGAGACATGTTAGCGCTGGCGGTTTTTTCGAAGATGTATTCGCCCAGGCAGACAGCTGCAAAGGCTGCTAAATAGCGCCAGTTAGAACCATGTAGGTAAGAGAATCATACCTCTGTCAGGCCTATGAATTTTTGGTATCTGGCGCATGAATTGCTGTGGCAGGTCCTTAGGGAACGGGAGCTTCTCCTTTGGGGGGGAGTAGATTGTGTGGAGGGACTTTCGCCCAAGTTCGTAACCCTTCAATCCGCGCCGGACTGAGTTCCAGCAGCCCAACGACCGCATTGCTGACATGGGAGCGGCCATTGCTGCGATTAAATAGGGTGTGTGGGATATAAGACCGCGAATGGACCTGTGAGTATGCGGTATGTGGTATGGTATGTTGGATGCTGTTGTCTTCCGGTTCAGCGGCGAAGAATACCTGGACATGGTCCGTGCACAGTGCCAAGACTCGGCCACTGGTCTTTTAGCGGCTCTGCGACAATTCACGATATAAATCTCAATTTCATCTCAGGTAGATTCCGCGCCGTCAATCTTCTTTGCTAATTTCTCGTGGCTCACGATTCGACGAGGAGGAATTGGCACTCAATTGCGCCGCGCTGCAATTGTTGCGGATGATCGCGGCCCGCCACTGCGTTTTCTGAACAGCAAGAAAGGGTGCACCAGTTGCCCTTCGCAATCTCCGTGGCCATGTCGCAGAGCATCATGTATAGAGTACTTTATTGCCGGAGCTGCCTCAATCAGGCAGCAAGTCTAGGAAGAGGGCAGACACGATTCTTCACTAGTTCGGGGACATATAAGCGAGGTAGATAGCCCTTCCTCCGCAGGTGCTACACCGAACGCGATCATTCAAATGCTGCCAAAACTACCAGTAAACTAATCCTTTAATTATCACAGCGTGGATCCCAACGTTCAAACCGACCTCCTCCAAAAACCTCGATGAACTCCTCTCCCTATTTCGCGATCGTGTCTTTATCCCCGCTTTCCTCACCCCTGCCCAGCGGAGGCTCATATACAAAGAAGATGCCACTACATCCCTTGAGCAGAACCCTATCACCGTTACCCTTCAAGGGCAGACTGAAGAATCCTACAGACTACGCCCATTAAAATTTAGCGAAACGCCCAGCAATAACGCGGTGCGCGATATCGTCGAGCTGATGAAAGAGCCAGAGGATTGGTACACTCTCGTCCCGCTGCTGAAGGGCTTGCACAGCTCAAAACGCAAACCTAACTTCCTCCTCTGGGAATTCATTGTGCGCAAGGCGGGCGAAGCGGGCATGAATTCTGTCATCATCGACTGTGCAGAGCAATCTCGCCGCACGGGCTTCTCGCTCGGTGACTACGTGCTGACGGAACTGCTCTTCTCAAACCTCCATCTCAAAGCTGAGTCGGCGGGTTATAAGGGCCCGGAAGTCGAGAAGGCGCTAAAACAGGCGAAGCATGTTGCCATGTTGATGAACGCGGAGGACCATATGCCTGTGGATAAGACGAAGCCGGACCCACGACGACATCCAAATATTATCGCTGTTCTGTTGGAATTAAGTGCTGCTCGTGCTCTTGACGCCTTCGAGGGCAAGGATACCCAAGGCGATGTCCGCTCATACGCTGAAAAATTACTGGGCACGTGGGTGCTGAGAGGAAAGTTCGACACAATCAAATACCCGAAGAAGAATGTCCGGAATGTTACGGATCTTCCGTCTGTACGAAAGGGAATCGAGATGGCCCTACAAGTGGAGGAAATCAAGAATGATGAGAAGCTGAGCCAAGCTCTTAGGGAACGGTTAAACGAACTAGGAACGCCGGCTGATGGCACACGGGCATAGGAGGAGGGGGGAATCGTGGGTCTTGGAAATGCCCACACACCTGTACCATAAAACAATGTACTAGACTTGTTCATTTTCCTCTTGTAATGTCCTATTTTCTTCTTTTTAAATATAGTTTTGTGCGAGGTATAGATAGAGTAGTTAGCCAATCTTATTCGATGACGTAATTTTTTACTCTGACATTGTTTAAGCAAGGTACACAGTTGTCAAAATAAACCAAAACAATCCAGGTTATATACTCCCAAATGATGTGACAAGAAAATAAATTTAAGAATAGCAGCAAGGAAACCGACTCATCGCTATAGTATTAGTTCAAAGTAGTCTTGAGTATATAAACTGCTCTACGAGGCATATTAAGATAGTGAGAGTGTACAATCGTCGTTGAAGTATCCTCGGGCCTCCAACAAACACTGTCCTCCAACGACAGCGGGACCAGCCACAAATATCTAGTTTTGATAGTCAGCAGCGGCATCTCCGGAGAACAATAAAAAACACGAATTTATGACGAAAAAGGAGAGGCCCGTGTGCATACCTTTCCGTCAGCTAGTCTTCCGTCCTTACTGGCATCTTCCTCTTTATCGTGGACCAATTTTATCTCAATGCTATTCAACGGAGCTCCGAAATGGCTACGACCGCGTAGTCTCCTATAATCAAACGCATTCGTCTGGCTAACCGCGCCGACGACGTTCGGAGCAGTCAGTGCATATAATACACGCGCCCCAGTAAACCCCCTCAAGTCTGTCAATTGGTCAGAGGTAAGCTGATATTCTGGATTTGTGTCGATGCGATGAGAGATGAAGAGAAGGCGAAGATTTTCGAGAGATAGTTCTGCAGTCGGACCTAAGTTGGCGAGCTTGGTGAGTAAGTTCTGCCCCGGCATTGTACCAGCATCAAGAGATCTCCGCTGCATGAAGCGGCCAAACTTGGCTATCGGCCCTATTTGAGGGGCCATATATTCGGTGTGGTATTTTTGCATTGTTTCGGAGGAAGCAATGATGATGGTGGGAGAGATGCCGGCTGTTGCGAGGGCGAGGTTAACATGTTCGCCGGAGACGGAGTTGAATGCGACGGATGCATTCACGTACAATGCGGCGAGGAGTATGCAAAGAGGGTAAGAGCGGGTAAGGGAGTCGATGGAGAGAACCAGGTCCGAGGATGTTAGTTGTTGGCCCCGAGGAAGGACGGAGCCCACGCCAGCAATACCTGCCACCAACAGCTGTCATGATAATTAGCTAAATACGGAGGGTGACACGGGATAAATGAAAGGTACACCCCTACAGCAGGAGAATACTCGAAGAAGTTTCCAGCGTCGGCTGAGGTGGCCCAGAAAGTGACAATAGAGGGTGGCGGGGTTTCAGAAACAGTAGCTGGCACCTCTGTCCCTACAAGAGCCTTCTTGTCCTTGACCAGCTCGTGCCACACAGCTACCTCGATATCACCTCCAATCCCTTCCGGTACTTGACTCCAATCCATATGTCGGCTGCCATGGTTGGCAACCCAGATGGCACTCCTGAGCGACGGGACTCCCTGCAATAATGCAGACGACTCCAATGTGCCAGCTTCGGCGATGAGGAGGTCGGCACCTGAGATAGCAAGATATGCACCAAGCCTTTCGGAAGGCACAACACGAGGAATCAACACGATTTTGAAGTTGTAAAATGCGCCAGCTAGGGAATTTATTAGCAAACATTACCGCTCCAGTCACGAAGAGAGACCACCTAATAACTAACCAAAAATAGCAGCGAGAGACTCTACAGAGTCTGGGAGGTATACAGCAACTGTTCGCGCCTTTGATTCATATATGTACTGGCCAATAATATTGATTTCCTGAGAGATATCATCCAGCTTATGCTCCACAACGTCCTTCCCTAGCACAGTATAGAATTTCCCTTGTTTCCCTGCTGGTGTTCCGTCGCTGGCTAAGGTTCCTCGGAGAGCCGCTCTCCAGATATCGCGGAGATCGCCATTGCGTCCTGCAGTCCATTTTGGCTTGCCAGGGTCCTTCACGTTCAGTCCGCTCTTGAGTGGGTAGCCGTGGGGAACGTCGTGCGCGCGAAGAACGGCGGACTCTCCTGGCAACCTGATGGGAGCCCTGACGGCTTGCCGGGCAAGAAAGAAGGGATGAGCATCAGGATCCTTGGAAAAGAAAATCTTGTACCCTAGAAAGATAGCAATGAGTGACGCTATCAGTGTTGAATGGGTGCTCCAATCAGCAAAGAGGTCCGCGAACAAAACATCTACTTTGGACAGGGAGGTATTGTCTATTGAAGCCATTGTTAGAAGAGAGGTAATGCTATTTCATTGGGACTTGATAAAATGTCTGGAGTTCTTCCAGGTGGAAAAGACAGGCAATTTCTGTGCGAGAAGCACGATGGTCGGAGGTGGGTTGGTTAGTTGTTGGTAGTCGAGGGAGGTTGT